GTAAATTAGGTGCTCTGACCTCTGCGCTACATGCCCGCGCAGTTAACTCGGGTCCACTTTTGCACTCCAACCACCATACTTTCACCACGCCACTGCACTGACCCGACTAAACAAAAGCCTGGGTGAACATCAACGTTGTTCTTTAATCACGACGTGGCAACTTAAACCCTGACTCGAACCGAGGCTCTCGGCGGTGCCGGTTCGGCATCTGTGACACAACCACAATGACCCCCGCCCTCACTGAAGCTTTGAGGCCAACGGGGAAGGGGACACATCACGTACAAACAATTAAAGGGGGGGAAAAACCCGCCATGGATCACAATTTACCACGGTATAAACAGTATTTATTTTCACTGCTGCTGCAACTTAACACTGATGGGTAATACTAATTCAGCTGTAAAAAAAAAAGTTTTGTTTTTAATGGAATCACACCGCTTGTGTTTTGGCAATTGGGCACACTTACTGACTGCAGGAGATGACTTGGCTTCCTCGCATGCACTCCGTTTTAGTCATTCGCATAAAATGTCAAATATGCTACGAAAAGTCATAAACTATAGAGTTTTATAGCCACACATTGGGCATTCACACCCACATGCCACACATTAATCGGAGCCTCGTAAAGATGATCCAACTTCCCGTATCCATGATCCAATATGAACCAAACAGCAGTATAAATTGTGTTTCTGCTAGGGACTCGCCCTATTGAGAAGCGGCCAAATAATTTAAACCGTTGTCCAAAGCTTCGGAAATGCAAACCAGAGCTATAATAATTACAATATTTGCAAACATTCAAATGTGTTTTTGCCCCCGACAGTTAACCGCTGACGTATGTTCTACTTAAATACTTCCTAGGACAAAGACGTTGGAAAGTGTAACTTAATGCATGCGAAATGCACGAATTTTCCTACCTAATTTCCAACTCAAAATCTGCCTGGCAACAAATACTGCATCGTGCACATTGATACAAGTCGGACATTACACACGCACGCTAACCGCTAGCGCCTTGCACAGCTAAATAGCTCCGTCAGCTGTAGGCAAATGTTGATTTTCACCTGACATTTGGAGGTAATGCGCCAAAGTTAATCCGTCACCACAAAACGGGGAAAGCCGTCGATGCGACGCATTTTCGGTCATTACGTCAAGATGGGAATCTGGCACCAGTGTAAGGAATGTATTACGGCATTGTAGCAACGTAATGTTCGGTTTAGGATAAGATCTTCTTGTCAAGTTAAGTAACCGAGTTCTCATTACGGGTATTGCTAAAGTTACGAGAAACCTTAAGAGATGTCCTCAAGCCGCTGGCCCCTTCGTCCCTGTGTGGTTGCCATCAGGGCCGTGTTATCAGAGGCCACAGTAGGCACTGTGCCTAGGGTCTACTAAAACTAAAAGGCCTATGAACACACATTTTTGACTGTGCTTTTGGTATATATGATAAAAAAATGTAACCAAGATATCTTCTTCAATAACTATATTGATATGGCTGCTCGTTGCAATTTATTTGCAGTGGTAGCCAGTGCCGGATTATCCTAGTAGCAAAATTAGTACTGTATATGTTATGGGCCCCACGCCAAATGCTTTCAAGCCATCAATTCCGGTTCAGTGATTCTGCACTTGCTCTTACTATAGTACTATACTGCCTTCAACTTTTATGAACGACCGGGTGTTTAAGGTGATCGATTTGTCGTATAATCTGGCTGTATAGCAAGTGAAAAAATACAATGATTTTACTATACAAGTAAAAAAATTGTGCTTTAATATTTGTGTGTTCTTTTCTTAAATTTAGGGCCCCTTTATAACATATGCTACAGGCCCCGCACTAGCTTAATCCGGCACTGTTGGTAACAAGTTGTTCACTCATAAGTGAGGCGTATTACACCTAAAATAAGTCACATCTTTAAGCCGAAACAAAAGTAAATCAATATGGCCCTTACTATGCGGTCATCCCATCAGAACATTGAAATTGTTATCGGCACCTTTTAAAAGCTGCGTCATCCGATATGATCATCATAGTTAAATACATTTTCGCTTATAATAGTTTAAGGCTCACTTTTTTTTCAATAATTTCAAATTAAATCTGTTTATCTGCGGCACACAGCGTGCTCCCATCGAAATAGGGCACAGACTAAACAATGAACGTATCAGTCACAATCTGTCGAGCGGCTGGACGAGTACGCGTGAAACAAGCAAGTGACAGCGGCGGTAGCAGTCACATGGGCAGCAGCAGTACCCACTGCAGAGAGTTATCACTGCAGGCCTACAAAACAGAAGTGCCTAGAGCCAACAACAATCTTAATCCGGCCCTGGTTGTCGCACATTAAGAACGATAAGCCGAGGCAGCTTAAATACGAGACACTATTCAACGCAATGCAGAACTTTATTATGAATAAAAGCTTGCAGATATTTGTCTGCATAACGGATTTATGGATATTGTAGATAACTCCGTTTTTAATCTTGATTTGAAGCTTTCGTGACTGCAGGAATTCGTACTCTTTGGTTCTTTCCGTAAAGTCACGTAGGCAGAAAATAAAATAAATCACGACGTTTCGATCGCAACACATACCTTACATGACTTTACCGAAAAGAACCAAAGAGTATTAACTCCGTTTATCTTTTGTTGGACAGCCCACGAAGAGCAGCGTCGAGTTATAGCTTCAAGAGCTATTAAACGTAGTTGTTCTGTCATTGTGTCTCCCTTGAAGGTGCTTTTACGCAACCAGCCATAGGTCTCACTCGCACAAAAACGATCACGTCTAAAATACCCCGCGACGTGGTTAGGAATGAGCGAACGGTCACTCACGGAACAGCAGATTAAGTGCATCCACTCGTGGGGACGATTCGAATAAGTGTGTAATGTGCGTTACGAGCGTACGCGTATGAAACCCACAACTATCAGCCATTAAAATAATCTTAACTACCGTTTAGATTAATCGATCAATACGTTTTTTTTACAATTTGCAATTAATTTGCGTGAGGCTCAAGCAGTGTTCTCAGCGCTGGGATAACGGAGTTTTACAACGTCATCGACACCCAACGGTAACAGTGCCATCATTCGTCTTGCCGTGAGTTTCCAGCATACATAGGATATTTTATTCAGCACTAATATAGACAGTGGCCCAGAAGTAATTTGTAAAGATAGTAATTACCGATAAGTTATGCTTATGCTCAGTAAACTAACTGTCATGATCATATTGCCCGCTATTCAGAGTTTGGGCGAGCGTGATTTTACATTTTTTTAGCCGATTCTCAAAAATGTTTAGGGTCACGCATATTAAACGATTATGTGCAGACCGTGCTATATCAACTCACGTGAGATCGACGACACGGTGAACACAAGATGCTTGTAGTAATACGTCGGACGTACGCATTTGCAATACCATTTGCGCGCGCACACACACTGGGGTAGTGAGCTCCTGTAACCCAGCGACACTTGAAACGAGGGGTTGGCGACTTACATTAAGTTGGAACAATCAAGCACACGAGACGCCGACCGTCGGGGGCAGCGAAGCTATGCCTGTAAGCGGGACTCACGCAGGCTCAGAGGTCGGAGCACTGAGCTGGCAACGCTGAGGCCCTTGGTTCGAATCCAGGCAGCCGACGGTTGTTGATTCTCAAGCACAAGTGAGTTGATGGTCTCAGCCCAGGTCACTATTGCCTGCACTAATTTAGCTAAATTCCACCTCTGAGACTTTACATATAGGTTTGACTATCATGCAACCAACTTCACACTCATACGCAAAGCAGGTGGGAAAGTGCTGCGATCTAGAATGTATATACTCTTTGGGTCTTTCGGTAAAGTCACGTAGATAGAAAAATAAAATTCACGTTTCGATCGCAACACAAGCAATCATCTTCAGGTTAAAAAATATAGCAGGCGGACTGCTGAGGCAGGAAGAAATATAGCGAGAGCTACTGCAGCCAAAGGTTATAAAGGTTTGAGATGGGTACAACCCGAGGGTAAGTGGGCGGGGATAGAGATGGAATATGCAAGTAAATGTAAGATCGCAGAGCTAGGTATACCTCCGCCATTGTAATGCTAGAGATTAGCATGTCAATCTCAGGCCTCACAAGTTTTGAGAAATCTGAAACCTAACAAAACTAGCTTAGTTTTGAGACGCCGCCCGGTTTATTTTTGGAGGTCGTTGTATTTCAGCCGAGAAGCGTCTGCAACAGGACGCGCTGCTTGGCCTGCAATATGCCCTCCAGCGACAGATGCATCAGCGCAGTGCGGGTTGTCGTCCAGCTCCCATTTGAGGATGGAAAAGTCCTCAATCTGTCAATGTAACCCCACGGTTACGGTGCTGAAGAAGCCATTGTATTGCTCGAGATTTAGAGATTAGCGTGTCAATGTGGGATGGCTACCGCAGCATCGGCTGTGTTAATGAGAGACATTCAGCAGCTCATTAAACAACGAGCGCCACCACCGCATCGAGGGAAAGGGAGCAGCAGCTATGTTAGTGAGACGTTTAGCCTGTTAATGTAAAGACATTTAACAAGGTAATGTAACTCAGAGTCGGAAATAACTGCTAACATAGGCAGGTAGGATGGAAGCATCACAGCCAGTTATGACTTTATCTGGTTAATAACGTCCTTCCAATGATTGATCAGTTTGTACCCATCTTCTCGGTTGAAATTGTCTGTGTTTATATATCTGGATGGCTTCATGAACAAATCTTTGTTGATAGCCATTGGGTTTGCAGAGTACCTTCATCTTGGAGAAATCAATTTCATGTGTGCCCACAGCGTTAAAACAATGATCAGCCACGGCAGAGGTGTTGGTCCTACCGTGTTTCAGATCCGCCTTGTGTTCGCGAACACGGTCTGAGACGTTGCTTAGTTTCCCCAATGTAACTAACTGCCGCAGACACAGCTTAGTTTGTAGACGGGGTATTGCATGTCAGGGATCACATCCTTCACAGATGGGATCAGATCACGAATTTTATGTACTATGTTGAATCGGACCTGGATCTTGTTTGCTCATGATTTTGGAAATCTTTTTGGTGACCCCTGCTATGTATGGCAAGGTGATGGTTTTGATTGGATCCTCAGGTGGTTCTCTCCCAACGGTTGGGATGACAGCTTTACGGATTGTGCAATCCGAATATCCATTCATCTCGAGGGCTTGGTGTACGTGCTCCAGTTCACTGGCTAGGTGGTGATGGTCGGAAATGCAACGTGCCCTATGGTGTAGAGATTTGATGAGCGATGGTGGTGGGAGTCAGGTTTCAGATAGGCATCCGTGTGGGTGGCTTACCTGTAGACAGTGTGTCCCAATGAGCCATCTGGTCTCTTTTAGATTAAAACATCCAAGAATGGTAACTTGCCATCCTTTTCCACCTCCATGGTGAATTCGATGGCTGGGACTTTAGAAGTGATGTGGTTGAAGAATTGGTTCAGAGCTGGCAGGCCATGTGGCCAGATGACGAACGTGTCATCTACGTATCTCTTCCACAAGGATGTAGGATGGATGTCTGGATGGCATCTGTCTCAAATTTTTCCGTGAAAACATTGGCTACTACTGGAGATAACAATGTGTGGAACATACTCCACTTCGCGCTCTGCGAACGATCCGTCAGTAGACTTTAAGATAACGATAGCACAATTGGGAAAACTTTTTCGTGAAAATGACAACGGCAAAAAGAGGTAGTAGAGAAAATGGCAGTGTGACAAAGCCGAGCGCGTTGGGGGGAGTTTGGGGAGCATTTCTCCCTTCGTATGTGCTGCGGGTTTTCTCTGGGCCCTTCCACATGCAAAAATAAAAACACTCAAAACATTAATTGGCCAAACATCCCATGCAAGATGTAAAGTACATAATTATTAAGACTTTGTGACACCTTCTCGGATAAAACAAATTAAATTACTATACATTTGATAAACGAGCGAGGTCTTGCAATGTGAGTAGCGAACGTAGACGCTTTGTCTGCCGAGTGTCACGTGATCACAACTGATACACGAGTGCTTTGGATTACAAACACGTTTCCGGAACGAATCACGCTCGCAATCCAAGGTTTTACTGTATCTCCAAATAATAACAATTGAAATAATGACAAGTAATTTAAATATTTACCTAGAAGTGTCACACCTTTTAATGAGGACAAATGCCTCTTGCTTTCAAGATATTTTCACACGGCTTGCTTTGGCCAAGCAGCAAACACGTGCCAGTGTAACACCCACAAACCCACACACTCACAAAGAGCCCTGTCAAGCCCCATAGACTGTTGGAGGAAGCGCGGTAATGCAAGCACCGAATAAGCTCTACATGGCGCAAGGTGCGGCGGTGTGGCCAGAACCAACGCCTGGCCCGCTTTGTCTCCTAAGTGCTCACTGAATGCAGAGTTGATCTGTGGGAGGCCAAGTACCAGTGCAGGTATCACTTGCCACCAGTGTTAACTCATCATCATCATCGTCACCAGTCGCTTGCCCCTGGCCGGAGAGTAGCGGTCCCCACGAGACGTCGCCAGGCGGCCCTTTCCAGATCACGCCGCCGCGCCGAGCACGTTCCCAAGAACGTGGTGTTTGACCGCGGCCGGGAATTTAACTCGAGGCTGCCAGGTTAGTAGCTATGTGCACTACCCACTACACTACCGCTCCACACGCGCACTCAAAACACACGCACACATACATAAGCAAGTGTACATTCCCACTGCAACACTGTACATGCGACTCCCGATCGTTCACGGACACACCATGCAGTAGCAAACGAGATGGGTGATGCCCCTGTGGAGCCTTGGCCCTGGGTGCAGCCTGGATTCTGGAACTGGGTTATACGGAGCCACACGTTCCCGCGTCTCCACCGTCCGCCGCGTCTCCCCCCCGCCCCCTCGATGGCCCAAGACTCCACACGGCCCGTGTTTCCACGTCTCCCTCGTATCTCCACGCACGTCTCTGCATCCCCACACTTCCCGCACGTCTCCGCCACGCCGCCATCTCCTCACTGTCAGTCGCCGCCGCCGCCGTCGCCGCCGCCGCGACCCCTCGCGCCGGGCGTGAACCCGAGGGTGGCCGCCACCTTGCGCCAGTGCGTGCGCCGGTGGTCGGTGAGGTGGTGCTTGAGGCGAAAGGCGAGGCCGCACAGCTCGCACTCGAACGGCTTCTGCCCCGTGTGCATGCTGCGGTGCCGCACCAGGTTGCTGAGGTCCGAGAAGGCCTTGCCGCACACCTCGCAGTTGTGCGGCTTCTCGCCCGTGTGCGTGCGCCGGTGCTTGCACAGGTACTGCCGCGTCTTGAAGTCGCGTCCGCAGAAGTCGCAGCGGTGCAGCCGGGACGCCCCTGCCATCACCGCCGCCACCGCCGCCGCGTCCGTCGCCGCTCCGCCGCCTTCCCCCGGCGGGTGCGACGGCCGCGGCGGGATCAGCCGTCGCGGGCTGTTGGTGGTGTTGGCCATGGCTATCGTCGTCGGCGGCAGCGGCGGCGGCGGCGGCGCCGCCTGGACGAAGGGGCGGCCGTGGAAGGCTCGCACGCCGCCGATGCTGTAGAAGATTTTGTCCGAGCGGGTCCAGTCGGCGAGACGCTGCAGCCGCGCCTCCTGCTCGTCCCACGTGTGCATGGGGTGCGGGTGGAGGTCGGGGTCCTCGGAGGAGTACGCTTCTGAAAGAGGTGGAGAGGTGCAACCCTCTTATTCCCGCTGCACAACCGCGCCGAGCCAGCCCGGCGCGGCTCCGGAGGGACCGGGTTGCTTTTCCGCCGCAAAACCAGGGCGGTGCCGCCAACGCAACCAACGAGCCGAGGTGCGCGCGGACGACGTGGGAACTCGGCGCGCTGTGCTGACTTAACGTCACACGCGACGACTGCATCACTAACCCCTGCCTCTGGCCCTGCTCGGCCCCGAGCCAGATTCACGCGTCGCGTGAAAACAGCGCGTCATTTGACGATCTGGTTCCGGCTTAGAACAGAAAATAACCAGCGGGAAACCACCCGTGTGCTGCGAGAGCTCCGTGCTGCCGCAACTCTGACATGTCAGTGGAAAAGTTGGTACTCTGTGACCGGCGACCTCTGGACTGCAAGGCCAGTATGCTAACCATTGCACCATGGCAGCATTTGCTGGCGCGGCAGCTGAAACTACAGGGAAAGTTTCTTAAATCTCACCGCCCACCCTCCGCCTGTGTCCATCCAGCAGTGGAAATGGATTCACCACGGTTTGTCCATCAGCAGACCGGGGGGGAGTGGGTATTTAAACAAGCTTGATGACGTTCAAGTGTTGTGTAAAACGAATTATTACTGGCCAAGACTAATTAGAGAACCCATTGAAATTGAGAGAAATACAAATAACTTTAATCGCTCTGACAGCTACAGGCTTAGTGCGGCTTGGAAGCGTATTATTAAATAATACATATTACAATTCCTTATAGGGGAAACACATACTAATTAACCGATTACAAACGTAGTATATAATTAAAGTAACCCCCCCCTCCGCCACCTCTGATTTCTGATTGGGTATAGTGATTGGGTGGTTCAGTTATTAAATAATACACATTACAACTGATTACTAATCTACAACTGATTACTAATCTACAACTGATTACTAATCATAACAATTAACTGATTACTAATCTATTATATAATTACAATACCCCCCCCTTCGCCTCTGATCTCTGCACCTGATTGGGTTGAATGATGACATCACCCTGCTGCTCTATTTAAGACCGGGAGCAGGTGGAGGGCTTCACTATTCTGGCAAATCGCTCGATGATCCTGTGGATTCACTCTTCAACACACCGGTGGGGGCTCAAGCAGTGAACCATTTGTCTTTTGTCAACGTGACACATTTTTTACTGACTGGCCATTACGGGTGGTGGAGGGTCGCGACACATTTATAAATGACGCGATCTCACCCAAAAACCTTTATTATGAATAATATTGGTCGCGAAAGCCTACGTGTTAAATCAAGCTTGTCCATTTTTTATAACTGCTGCGCGGGGAGACTGAACACCCGGCGAACTCTGTATTGCAAATCCATTGTGCTCACAATAACGTCACGACGGCTGAGTATGTTTCTCGTACTTCTTTCACACCATACGTATCCAACAGGGGAAGGACAACAAACTAAACATAAAAAGCAGTTCTAAAAGAAAAGAGTTTTCAATCTAGATTATTTAAAAGTGCATAGCTCCCGTGGCTTCCTAATATCGGAAGAGCGTCCTAGACGGCCGCAGAAGAGCATCTGAAAGGGTGCGATGCAGTGACTGTCTTTGTTTAATGGTTAGCCAAAAGAGCAGTTCTAAAGAAATTCCTTTTCAATCTAGATGAAAAAGTGCATAGCTCCAGTGGCTTCCTAATATCGGGCAGCTTTCGACCGACGGTACAAATTAAACGTTTCTGCCTCACCTGCACGGCTGCCAGCGTCGGTGTGCTGGTGCTGAAGGGTGGTCGCATGCTCCTCGCGTGCCACGTCACAGTTGTTCTCCGAGGGGATGGCGGTGTCCACCTGCTCATCGTAGAGCTCCTCTGGGAGTGGAGGGCGAGACAAGACGAGGGTCAGGCTGCTACTGTTCCAACGATGTGAACGGGCAGATAACGCTAACCCGCACAAAAATTACGCTCTGGGAACGCATTTGTATAGGTTTCCTACACAGAATTGGGATGAAGACTTCGAATGTGTCGTCTGTTTGCTTCCTAAATCACTAAAATTTGATAAAGTGCTCGTGGTCACATGGGCACCGGAGCCACAGGTCCCCAACGAGTGAGGAGCAGCTTTAAATAATTAAACCAACCCGGTCCACGTGAACACGCTTCGTGAATTTTGGTGTGCACGGAGCGCGCTTCATCGGCGAGCCGGATAATCTGCCCTGGGGACGATCGAGCTGGCTGCGGTGGAACGGCGCCGACTGATGATCGGCCAACGAGGGAAAGGTGGCACAACGAGCGTGCGGGCAGGGACCCACCGGCCTCGGCAGGCTCCACCTTGAGTGGTCGTCCAGCGGCGATGCCCTCCGCGAAGTCGCGATCTTCGCCCTGCGGCGCGGAGTCTCCCGCGTAGCGCGCCGGCTCTGGTTGACGGAAAACAAAACGAGAAACAGCGGGCACGGCTATATCGGTGTAAGAGCGTAAAAATGTAAACGCCAGCAGGATGACCGATCCACGAGGGGCCGGAAGACGCAGACGACGTTACAATTCGCTTCTTTTTACTGTAATCATCAAACCATTTATTCAAGCGTAAGTGTTTTTGAGAAATTGGTGTGTTGCAATCGTCAAGCTCGCAGAGAAGCGCCACATCGGTCCCACTCCACTGCCCCCTTCTGCCAAACTCCCAGGAAAAAAATTTTCAGGCTCCCCGGAGCCATCCGGTCGCCTCGCTCGCCAACACCACTCACCGTCGCCGCCGTCCGAGTGGCACATGTTGGCGGGCGAGCGCGGGCACAGCACCGATTCGAGGGAGACAAACTTCTCCGCCGAGCGGAGCAGCTCCTTGCCGAGCCGGTCGAGCGTCGCCACGATTGCGTCGAGCAGCGGCGCCAACTCCGGCTGCTGCCGCGCCGCCACCGCCGCCGCCGTCGGCGTTCCGTGGCCCTCGGCGCCGCCAAGCGGGCTCACGGCCCTGACGAGGCGGCGCAGCACGGCGTAGAAGGCGAAGGGCAGGCGGTCGCGGGCGGCGCCCAGCAGCTCGGCCGTCACCTGCGCGTCCTCGGCGCACGCCAGCAGCTCCTCGTAGTCGCTGATGCCCAGCTCGCGCTCCATGGCGTCGGCGAACGTGGGCTTCATGCCGCGCGTCGCCAGCCACGCCGGGAAGTCCCCGCGCGGGTCCGGATCCACGGCCAGCACCGCCGCGCACGCCATATTATTCTGCCGATGCCGAGAAATTATCTTTTCATATTTTTTTTCCCCATGTTTTATCCCGTGAAAGAAAGTACACAATCAGAACTCTCATAAAGCAGTGCGGTGCTCTGTTAGAGAATGGGTCCACAGAAGCGGACATCACAAAACTACTTCTGATATCCCTTCAAATTACCTCCATTTCGGCAAGTTGTGTGAAAACCACAATAAATTTCACAGCGTTTCTGCAGTCACTAATGACCAGGCTGAGATCATCACCTCGCTACACTTGAGAACCCAGACTACTAGCAGTCCTGGTTCAGTGTTCGAACCTCTGAGTCACATGGCCATCTCAAGAAACGTTTGTCAAAGGGACCAAACCGATGTGAATCTTCCCAGTCTCGTCGGATCTCGGAAGCTAAGCAGTGCTGATTGGGCCTGAACCAAGGTAGTTGGCGCCACGGTGGCGAGATGTAAACTCCCCTGGTATGGAGGAGGTCGTGGGTTCGATCCCGACTCTGACGCCTGCTGTATATTTGGAGTTTCCATGTCTCTCTCTCTCCCCGTGGCCGCGTGGATTTTTCTCCGGGTCCTCCGGTTTTATCCCTCCGCGTTTAGAAACATCACGCGTTTAGAGTATTCGGCTGCTATAAATGTCCACACGATAAGCCGCTTCGTTGAGCTATCATTTGTGGCCAGGCTGCTTCCGATAAAAAGCTACATAGCTCAGCGGGCCTTACCTGGTAAAATAAAAAGACTTTTTTTTATTTTAGCCCGCGGTTATCTGCTGCTGGACCCGTGCACAAACCTCTTGCAGCGGATACGGCCGGTGGAGTTTCACCGGGGGCCCCTCCGACCAGAAGACCTGGAACCCAGTTACCCGCAGATGGTCAGCATCCCCGATCCTCGAGTCCGAGACAGTTTTGCAACAGCCTCACAAGAGCGTTGTTCCGAAATAGCTTGCTAACGTGTGATCGCGGGGCATTCGTGATTGCCTGCACTCGCAAATGTACACGCGAGAACAAAATAAGTCAACTATAAACGTTTCGTTTTGCCAGGTCACACAGCGCCCACTGAGCTATTTCGCTCTTTTTCAGACAGGCAGAGTGAAAATGGCAATTTGCGGTGTCCGAGCTGAGACTCGGTGCGTCGTTTTTCCATTAAACATTCCACTTCCAAAAAACGCTGTTCACGAAATAAGACACAGCCCATAATCGTTAACGTCACCTAAGGGCAATCAAATACGGATCCGTTCGTGGTTAAGCCTGTGATTGTCCTATTGCGGATAATAACCGCCGTGCAAATATGCCATTTCCACCAATGACGGTGAATATGGGGACTGACTGCCTATCATCACCATCATCCTCACATCTATAAATTAAGTACTAATTTGTGGTTATCGATAATGGTTGTCTTATGCAGAAACTGATTCCCCCACCACCAAAAGTGAAATGTGGAGTTGCCACCATTGTCAGATGCGACCATCCTACCATCATCCTTCCGTCTTTAAACCAGGTACTAATTTGACCGTCAATGGTTGTTTTGTGGAGAGGCTGATCCCTGCACCCATCAGAGTGAAATGTGGAGCTGCCACCACTGTCAGCTGCGACCATCCCATCATCACCATCATCATCCTTCCATCAATAAACCAGGTACTAACTTGTGATTGTCAATAATGGCTGTCCTACGCACAGACTGACCCTACACCACCCCATCAGAGTGAAATGTGGAGCTTGCCACCGGCCAGCTGCGCCCATCCCATCATCACAATCATCAGCCTCCTTCCAAGGTGGTTAAAATAGGCACCAAGCAGTAGTTTAAGCGTACAACGGTTGTTGCTGTGGTGGCGGTGGTCGTGGTGGTGGTGTAAAAAAACACACCTTACACTGTTCCCCCTTGCGCGTAACCCAACCAACTCGTCTAGTTGTCACCGCGCGAGTCGCAATCAGCCGGCGGTGAAGGCGATGGAGCGACACGCCGAGCGGAACGCAGCGGGGCTAGGGGAGGAGAGGGGAGGGGAGGTGGATTACGGCGGGCGGGCGGGCGCGGTCTGGGAACACCGAAAGGCGGCCGCGGCGGGCCAGGCCCGAGGTAGGCCCACACGTCGGGCCGCACGTTCAAAAGCAACGCGTTGAGGGGGGAGGGGGGCAAGTAGAGGAGGAATAACAAACAACAACTTTCAACCCCAACGCGAGAGAAACGTCGACGAAATATGCCACAAAGCCCAAGCGATGTACGTGACTTTACCTTACCGCGGGGGGGGGGGGGTTTGTCGCAGCCGCCGCCGCTGCTGTAACGAAATAAGAGGTACAGTATTGTTACAAAACGCGCCTGTCGCCGCGGTAAATCTACATTGGAATAACCCCCAGCCCCCCCCAGCGCGCTCTACGATAGACTCGCCCGCCAAGCATCGCCCTCTCTGATTGGCTGACCGCGGGAGGGGCCGCGTGCGTGAACACCAACTCGGCGGTCCGCAAAAAAAACTCGCCGCCGCCGAGTGAATTGTGGTTTTCCATGCCGGACCCTCTGAATTAATCAACAACACAAAAAATGCGACCTCTGTTTTCTTGTCTCTGCGATCAATCCACTGGCTGGATGAATGCCTCTCTTTTCTCGCTCTCACCCAACGTCGTCGCCGTCTCTCACCGGTCTCGCGATGTAGGAATCCAACCCGAACACGAGGTGGGGTTCGAGATGCCCTCTCTCGAACGCGTTTCCACCCCACCCACCCGTCCCTCCTTTGACTGCCAATCTTGTCGTCAGTCTCGACCACAAGGGCCATCACCGTGTCCCTTCGCCGCCAATGACTGCCCAAAGCCCATTCACGTCTCTTGATTAAACGAATTATTTGCCGCCTGCTGATACCTGTCAAACCCTTATCAGTGCCTACCTTATTACAGACCAATTCAGACCTTGTAATCGGTTTTTACCCTTTTAGCTGGCACAAAAACTGGCACCTTTATACAAGGGGGATCGTGTTTGCAATAACCACAACACAAGCTGTCAAAAATGTAAACAAAAAGAGACAACTCTGATAATGATATTGGCACTGTCCTTGAATTTGATTGGTCCACACCGGAGACGGCTTTTCTTAGAGCCTAGTCTCCATTGGTGTTGGACCAGATGACACCATAAGGCGTACAACTCAAAAACAGCGCACTATCAGAGTATTGAGGGCTCGGGGTAAGCCTTTACATTGAGGCCTCCTTTGCCAGTAACAAGATATAGTAATAGGTTTTTACCCTTTTAACTGGCACAAAAACTGATACCTTTATTCAAGGCATCATGTTTGCAATAACCACAACACAATACTCTGATAGTGCGCTGTTTTTGAGTTGTACGCCTTATGGCGTCATCTGGTCCAACACCAGTGGAGACTAGGCTCTAAGAAAATCCGTCTCGGGTGTGGACCAATCAATTTCAAGGACAGTGCATATCATTATCAGAGTTGTCTCTTTTTGTTTGCATTTTTGACTGCTTGTGTTGTAGTTATTGCAAACATGATCCCTTGTATAAAGGTGTCAGTTTTTGTGCCAGCTAAAAGGGTAAAAACCTATTACTATATCTTGTTACTGGCAAAGGAGGCCTCAATGTAAAGGCTTACCCCGAGCTCTCAATACTCTGATAGTGCGCTGTTTTTGAGTTGTACGCCTTATGGTGTCATCTGGTCCAACACCAGTGGAGACTAGGCTCTAAGAAAAGCCGTCTCAGGTGTGGACCAATCAAATTCAAGGACAGTGCCAAAATCATTATCAGAGTTGTTTCTTTTTACACCATTGGAAACCTCATTTGCCAGTAACAAAATATGATAATTGTTTTTTTACCCTTTTATCTGGCAAAAAAACTGACACCTTTTTTTACAAGGAGTCATGTTTACATTGACCACAATACCTGCGGTCGGAACGCAAACAAAAAACAACTCTGATAATGTATGCACTTGTGCGCCTTTTGGCGTCTGCTGGTCCAACACCATGTGAGACGAGGCTCTAAAGAAAGCTGTCTCGGGTGTGGACCAATCAATTTCAAGGACAGTGCATACATTATCAGAGTTGTTTTTTGTTTGCGTTCCGACCGCAGGTATTGTGGTCAATGTAAACATGACTCCTTGTAAAAAAGGTGTCAGTTTTGTTGCCAAATAAAAGGGTAAAAAAACCAATTATCTTGTTTCTTTTTGTTTGCATTTTTGACTGCTTGTGTTGTGGTTATTGCAAACATGATCCCTTGTATAAAGGAGTCAGTTTTTGTGCCAGCTAAAAGGGTAAAAACCTATTACTATATCTTGTTACTGGCAAAGGAGGTCTCATAATGCAATTCAGACCTTATTGGTCACCCCGTGCCCCTTATAAATCTCAACGTTCATCCTACAAAGTCTACATCACAAGGGAGAAACACAAATATATATTTTTGTTGTTATTGCCCTATTGAAACGGCTGTAACGCCGTATGGAACTGAAAACGCAATTTCCCTGTACAAGAATACGGTGTAAACCGTGTGGGTGGCGCACGAATAACACAAACAAGCCAAACAAATTCGCCAGAGCTGAATGGAGTTCAAAATAACTCACAAACCACCTGGTTGTAAAAGACCCAACGCAGACGATTCCCCCGTGGTTCTATCTTCCACGAAGCTGCTCATGGTTCCACCCTAAACCGCATCCACCGCACAAACCATGGAAGTAGATGCCGTGATATCTGATGATGCACTAATGGAAAATGGAAAACTCTCCATTTGTAGTAGTGGCGACTGTGGTCATCCAGAACGGATCGCACAACGTATAACGACGCAAAGCCCCGATTCCACAAATGCGAAGGAGACATCACGGCGATGATGATCCACTCCGCTGCTCCTGATGATGTGAAATTGTAGCCGTTACTCTGCATCTACATCAGCCGTACGAAAGTAAGGTGGCACACTTATTGAATCTCTCAATGCGTCTCTGTATCCGTGTTTCTGATCCAGTGGTAACTGCGCAGAGCCGTGCCCCATCTAAGGCGTCCTCATCTGGAAAGGCACGGGTCAGACAACTAAATATGCGAACTATATCATTCAGAATGTAACAATGACAACGCCCTTCGTATCAGGGTGGTACGGTGGTAACATATTCGCCCCACAGCAATACAATCCTGCAGTTCGATTCCCGACTCGGGTGCCTGGGTCGAGTTTGGATGTTCTCCCCTTGTTCTGAATGGGTTTCCGCTGGGTTCTCTGGTCACCTCCCAGTAGCTTAAACACAATTTCATGGGTGTTGGCCAAATATCCAAATATAGGAAGGGGCCCTCTTCTTTGAATGTCATCTTTAACGACCATTGAAGCAAACGGCCGTGTATGATTGGCGAATGCACACACGTAGCGTTAACCAGGGTGGCTGCTGGGCTCGAACCGCAACGAAGCGGCGAAAGCGCTGCCGCTGGGCCCAACTAGTCCGCGACAAGGTCAGGTAAAAACGAACCTACCTTTACCCTACCTTTTACCTTACCCCAATACAATCACTTTACCCTTACCTTTTACCCTTTAGCAAGGCAAGGTAAAAGTTAAAAAGCAACGAGCCCACCTTTACCCTACCTTTTACCCTAACCCCATACAAATTACCCTATTACAGGGTAATTACCAGGGTACAACGCATGAAAAAGGTTAATAACAGGTAAATGCGAGGTAGAGCGCTTTATTCGTATAGAATACTCTCGAATCGGGCATTGAGGCGGTCGATGACACCGTCCTCCATAACCTCCTCGTCCCAGTCGTATTGGTCCATGACGATCTCATCAACAACCTGATCAAGGTCGTCATTGCCGTCGTCCTCGGACGAACGACGGACAATAAGATCCTGCGCCGCTCCGGCCCGGTTAGACAGGACCTTCAGGCAGCCGGCCGCGATCCACGAGCGTAAGTACATGGACTGGATGAAGAGCGTCGACGACAGGGACTGGCGATCGCATGTGAACTCCCGCCCGGCTCCGCTATTTGCGCGTTCCCAGGGAGTTGACGTCGCTGGCGCTCCCAAGTAGTCGCAGGCCATCTTGTAGTGGGCGGGGAGCAGCTCTTTGCGGGGAGACCACCACTGCATTACGTCAATGAAGGCGCTGGCGGTCGTGACGCCCATGCTCAGAAAACGATCGACTTCATCGCCGTCGTCGATGGAGCTGCCGACGTTGCTGAACAGGGCGCTGAATAGCGACCCCTCCTCCACATGGGCAGCGACTGCCATCGTCGAGATCGCGAGCACGTCCGAGTAGCGATGCTGCAGGACAGAACGGATCGTGGCCTTCAGTGTAGCCAGCTCTTCTTGGTCTGTCGTTTTCAGCAGCTGTGGATTCAAGTAGGATGCCACAATGGCAGGTTCCTGAACCAGGAAGTCTCGGTACCGCACCAGCTCGGCCTTCATCCCCGTCGCGGTGAAGGACTCATCGATCGCTCTAAGAGCGGCTTCACCGCGATCGCAATGACAGATCAAGTGCTCCATTGTCACCGGCACGAGATCCAATATCGACTTGCGGTCCGCCGACTACGAGGTCATGACCTGGCGCAGCATTCGCCGGAATCCTGTCACACCCTCGACGTTTGCCCACTGCAGTTCAGAGAAAGCACCGATGCTGATCACATCCTGGAAGCGCGCCATGATAATGTCCAATGGGACACGCTTCTTGATGGTACCGTCGCCCATGTCAAACGTCAAATTCCTGGTGCGTCGGCTCCTTGCTGGCGAGCTTGGCGATCTCGGCCTCGTCGTGGTACGACTGCCAGACGACCTTCCTGCACCTGATATTAACGAGCGCCTCGCGCAGTTTGGCGTTGGTCGACTTGATCAGTTTGAGAACTTGGACGACGCCGATTTGGACCGAATGATCCGCACAGCGAATATGGTGGCAAGCCCGCA